TCTTCCGAATCCCTTTGTTTATTTTCTTCCTCCTGCATTTGTGTGCTTTTTAGAATTTAGTTACTTGGACGGCGGCACTTCTCTGCTAATTTCGCCGTTGAAACTCAGTGAGTCAGCACATCAGTGACAAATATATGCTTATATAGCTGAAATTAAGTGAAAACTTGCCAATATGTCCTGAATTAGGTCTTTCTGTTTTTGCAATAATGCTAGTTAGTGCCTTGAGGACTGGAGCAACACTGATAGGCCATCCCAGTAGGTTCTGGTGTACTCCTGAAGATGCTTTTCTTTATACATAGCTCACGCACTCTGACTTTTGTGTTCAACTCCTTTTAAACCGCGTAATTAGGTGAAATTATCACCTGTCTTTCACTTAAATTAATTGTTCACAGGAAAGACTGTAGAATAACGGGAAAATAATATTTCTTGAAAACAAAACAATAAAAATAATGATGAAACCCATGTCTGTTACATATTTTGAATTATTAACACCTTTTATATACTTCTGCACCTCTGCTGGTTTTCTTCTGTCTTCTTCTCTTCTCAAAGGTATTGCCTTCAATGAAGGTACTGATACAGCGCTGCTATTCTCCATTTATTCGTGATATTGCTAGCTCATCTGGTATAGATTATATTTCACTAGTTTTAGACTTCTGTAGCCGGATGGCAGTATTTTGTTCTTAGTAGAGCGTAAAATTGTATATTATAGCTCGGACGAATTATCAATGAAGAAGTCATCCTTTTTAAGAATGTTCGCATAGAAAGACTATTATTTGCATTATAGTGCGTTGAGGGTTTTTTTGCGAGTTGTTTCAGATCTTAAGGTTGTAAATATACTGCAGGCAATGGCTGTTGTCATTCCAGTGAATCTATTAGAATCTGGCCTATGAAAGAGAAATAGCATGCAGACATAGGTTAGATGTGTGCTTTGAACATGTTAAACTTTTCTGTAATCATCCGGGATGACTGAAATACTCATAACACATCGACGACATTATGCGATGAATGAGATAGGCTGCTGAATTTCCTGGTGATTATATCTATTTCAATGAAGTTCCTAGTTAAAAGTGCTTTGGCGAAGATGTGATAATAGTTTAATTGACATTTGCACATGGAATTTCACAAGGCCTTAATTGCTCAGTGCATGAAATGGCATCAGAGTATATTGACATCAGTGTTCATCGTGTCTCGAAGAATAGTATAAATAGTCCTTCTAAAATGTCAGAGTACTTGAAATTAGTACCAGATTTCTGTCGATTAGTAGCTAGCAGCTGTCATACAACTACTACACCTGTTACATAGGTGAACCTATGTAACAGGTGTAGATTGATATAATTAAGATTGATATAATTATATCAATCTTAATAATTATTTTGCTTCACATCACTAAGATATTCTGAGATCCTTAATGACTTAATTGTGGCTATGAAAGATGTAGAAGATGCACTTATGGCTCATATATTTAAAGCAGTTATTATTAAACAAGTTATCTGTAAGCAACTTGTGATGTTCTGAATACTGCAAACTGTTGATAAGAAACTGCATCAAAGGAAAAAATGCTGAACAGCTAGAAAATACTACTGCAGTTTCGTTGGTTGTTACCTTTTGCATTTGTAACTCATCCTTCCAAAGCTGCGATTGACGCCAAACCATCCATGGTACCCCACAGGCCCTATAGAAATTTGTGAGACATCTTACATGTCAGGTTGTCTTCCATATTATAAGGTTGCAGATCTTTCAATTTACCTCTCACTGAAATATCACTTATCTACTTCACTATGGTCTTTTCATTTGTGCACTATTACACTGCATTTTATGTTAACTGGATATGCCTTCATTAAAGCTGAGACTTACTCTTTGTGCCTATTAGTTGCTTGCTTACAGTCGATTTGCTTTTATTAGAAACACAACAGCACCAGTGTTTGAACAAAGCTGTATTTTCATGGAAAACGTCATATTTTCTATGCTTATACCAATATGGTTGGCATTAAACATTGCAAATGTATACTCACATTCCAAGGACATAGCACTTAGCCAAATGTACGGTGTTCATTGTTAAGGGTTTACAATTTAACTCTTATAATTTATGATACTTCACGATTGCAGTTTATAACATAACTTATTGCGCCTGTAGAAATGACATGCATTCTTTGTAAACATTGGTTTATACGAAATATGAAATTATTATTATATGCTTGCTGCTATCCTTTAGAAGATGAATAATGTGTGTGGCAGTGAAAACCCCAGAAGAATGCTGTCATGAACAAAGAATGAGAAAGGAGAATGAACCATTTTCAGCAAAGGTAGGCAAATATAAAGCGTTTAACTTTGATATTACTTCTTTCTTACTTCAGCGATTTAAAAAACACTTTGTTTACTTATTTGTAGATATCCGGTAACGTCAGTCAACCCAGTCACAGAGATTCGACATTGCCCAAATTATTACGACAAACGACTGCGTAAAGACATTTGCTTGTTATTATTTTTCATTAAATACATCTAATATCCTGCTTACCAGACCTTTCTTATTATAACTGAGTGTAGATATATTTATCACAATGACTAGATGCAGGCATGACTTATTAATAAGAACTGACGAAGTAATTGGTGGCATATTTTAGTGTAAGCTAAATCTAAATACGATTGCTAAAGCTCAACGAATTCAATAATTCGTCCGGTGTAGACTTTAATTAACGCTACATGTTAACAGCCTTAGTCATATGGATTGACATCACGCTTTAAGTGAAACATTAGTAATGCAATACTTTCGAATACACCTAACCTTATAAGAACTGGAACTCGAATGCAGTGCGTAAGTTCTGCCTATTGTTGTCATTGGTCCCTAAATACTTGCATACAACTATAAAACGTATCCAAGTAACTTCACTAAAATACTTATAACTAACCACGTATACCAACCGACATCGTTCCTACAGAATTACACTTACGTATAGTTAGTAGTTAAAGTCCTAGAGAGCACCGGTCTAGCATGTCGTGCTCACAAAGTGAACACATGAATTGAAAGACAACAAAATTTACATGAAAATTTTATTTTCATTATGATACAAATTTAGTTCATTTACATATTAAGAACACGATTGATTCCTGCGATTACTCCGTCTGCATAAGTATTGGCAAACACTTCTCCAAATTTGTCATTAATTCTCTTCATGCCCGCATTGATAATCCTATTTTTGGTAGTCAATATGTCACGTTGATTTCGAGGGATAACTGCTGACGTACTATGAGATGCGAACAAGTTGCGTGACCACGTCCATTGTTTACAATTATGCTTCACATGGTTAACTACAAAAGGTGGAACAAAAAAACGTTAAGATAACTACGAACTGATTATTACAGGTGCAATGATGGTAGTGCTTGTGTCCTGTTTCCAGTTAAGGCATCGTACACACGAATACGGTAATCAAAATTACAACTTTCCGTATATAAGAACAATAATTAAGTTTCGGTCGACATACATTAAAAACAGAGTCATAAAAACGCAAATATACCTGTGAAATGTGGCTTTCTGAAATGGACCATTTCGCGTGGTTTTGCGTTATAGTGAATACATAATTGCTTCACACAATATGGTACATAACCATCCATGCAGCAGGGTGTACATGCAGAATGACCCATGGTATAGACGACTAACAGTTGAAGAAAAAGAAAATGTGGAACCACTTCTTCAGTAATCCCACTCATCCGATGAAATAATAATGCATGTTAAGGAGAAGTACCACAAGGATATAAATCGCGTCGACGTTAAAAATATGAAAGCCGCAGTTAATAAAGGCAACGTTGACGTAATTGTTAAATACTTTAGGTATTTCGAGTCTTAGTGACATTTTTGAATTCCTAAAATCCCGTGGGAAGTTAATGGAGTATTATTCCGATGAACCGATCAGGAATTCACTAACAAGAATTTGTTTTGCAACTTATGAGCAAATGGAATTGTATAAACAGTTCCCTGAAGTTGTTGGTATCGATTCGACGTATAATACAAATAAAGGGAAGTAAGTTTACCAATCCACTAATGCACGTGCAGGTATTCTTTGTTCCAATTACTTGTGACGGATAATTTTGGTCGCGGACGACCAGTTTTATTTGCGTGGACTAGAAAAGAATTCAAACGGGATGTAGTTGGGATATTAGACTGTTTTCGTCAAATAATGGAAGATACCTCCAAAACAGGAACTTTCGTTATGGATTGTGCGCAAGCTAAAATAGCAACCGTCAAGTTAACGCACAAAGAAGCGCACATTGTTTTGTGTTCTTTCCATGCTTGCCGAGCATTCTGTCGTAAAGTAAGTTTTTCAAAGCGTAGTTTACATTTTATTCGTAGACAAGAAGTCCCATTGTGAAGAACTGTTAATGCCGTCTAGTGCAGTGTAAAAGGAGATCAGAGTAATGCCTCTAATGTTCTCATTTTCCAGGTTTAATTTCTACTTCAGAGTTATTAGCAGATTGGATGCTACTGTCAGTCAATATCTACAACGTCGTTGGATGCATCGACGAGATTTGTGGGCAGCATGTTTCAGAGACAACGTACTGAAATGGACCAAAAGCAAGTGTCGGCAGGGGTACCGAAAAGTCTGAAATGTAACACACGTGCAAGTGTAAGCACTCAGATCAACCTCCACTCAATTCCCGTTGTCTTGGAAGAATACATAATCGAAGGATTCAACCTCAACAACAGCCCATCGTCGCCTTTCGTATTCACGGATAACCTTCCTCGCAGCGTATGGCGTCAGCAATCGTATAATTGGGAGTAGACATTGTGAGCAGGGATAGGTGAAGCATCGCGACTGAGCAATAGTCGTCTCCTGCTGTATCCTTGCAAAACTTTGTTGATACCATTTAAACACCTTCAGCATGTTTCAGAGACAACGTGCTGACTTTTGGGAATGATACAAATAATCGCGTCGAGAGTTCCCACAAGCAAATGAAACGGTACTTACAAAGATCAGATAGTTTGCATTACTACCTGATCTTTGTAAGTACCGTTTCATTTGCTTGTGGGAACTCTCGACGCGATTATTTGTATCATTCCCAAAAGTCAGCACGTTGTCTCTGAAACATGCTGAAGGTGTTTAAATGGTATCAACAAAGTTTTGCAAGGATACAGCAGGAGACGACTATTGCTCAGTCGCGATGCTTCACCTATCCCTGCTCACAATGTCTACTCCCAATTATACGATTGCTGACGCCATACGCTGCGAGGAAGGTTATCCGTGAATACGAAAGGCGACGATGGGCTGTTGTTGAGGTTGAATCCTTCGATTATGTATTCTTCCAAGACAACGGGAATTGAGTGGAGGTTGATCTGAGTGCTTACACTTGCACGTGTGTTACATTTCAGACTTTTCGGTACCCCTGCCGACACTTGCTTTTGGTCCATTTCAGTACGTTGTCTCTGAAACATGCTGCCCACAAATCTCGTCGATGCATCCAACGACGTTGTAGATATTGACTGACAGTAGCATCCAATCTGCTAATAACTCTGAAGTAGAAATTAAACCTGGAAAATGAGAACATTAGAGGCATTACTCTGATCTCCTTTTACACTGCACTAGACGGCATTAACAGTTCTTCACAATGGGACTTCTTGTCTACGAATAAAATGTAAACTACGCTTTGAAAAACTTACTTTACGACAGAATGCTCGGCAAGCATGGAAAGAACACAAAACAATGTGCGCTTCTTTGTGCGTTAACTTGACGGTTGCTATTTTAGCTTGCGCACAATCCATAACGAAAGTTCCTGTTTTGGAGGTATCTTCCATTATTCGACGAAAACAGTCTAATATCCCAACTACATCCCGTTTGAATTCTTTTCTAGTCCACGCAAATAAAACTGGTCGTCCGCGACCAAAATTATCCGTCACAAGTAATTGGAACAAAGAATACCTGCACGTGCATTAGTGGATTGGTAAACTTACTTCCCTTTATTTGTATTATACGTCGAATCGATACCAACAACTTCAGGGAACTGTTTATACAATTCCATTTGCTCATAAGTTGCAAAACAAATTCTTGTTAGTGAATTCCTGATCGGTTCATCGGAATAATACTCCATTAACTTCCCACGGGATTTTAGGAATTCAAAAATGTCACTAAGACTCGAAATACCTAAAGTATTTAACAATTACGTCAACGTTGCCTTTATTAACTGCGGCTTTCATATTTTTAACGTCGACGCGATTTATATCCTTGTGGTACTTCTCCTTAACATGCATTATTATTTCATCGGATGAGTGGGATTACTGAAGAAGTGGTTCCACATTTTCTTTTTCTTCAACTGTTAGTCGTCTATACCATGGGTCATTCTGCATGTACACCCTGCTGCATGGATGGTTATGTACCATATTGTGTGAAGCAATTATGTATTCACTATAACGTAAAACCACGCGGAATGAAGACGAGCAATTGCAATATTTTGACCTGAAATATGCATGAAATCATATTACACTTCTTCTTACGACTTATTTCTCGATTTCAATCCAGGTCTTGTTCGATTCACTCCAAAAGTGCATTTATAACCAACATAAGCGTACTTAAATCTGTCATCTGGTATCGTTTTGCTGCAATTATGAACATGGTGAGTGCAGGACAACTACAGTGTTAGCATCAAATGACTTCCTCACTTTTTGAAATTCTGTTCATGACTTCTCAAATTCATCCCAGCTGAAGAAACGCCTTCCAAGTATGTATTCAGCAAAAATTCCACTTGAATCTGTGCTCCTGTCACTCGAATTGACTACCTGCAACAGACTAATATAAAATTATCAATTAGGATCCATCTATGTCACAACTATTCGAAGATAAATCGTGAAAAACCAAAATTGAAATACAGGAATGATCGATAACCATCAAGAAAATACCGCACGTATAACCTAAATTACAGAAAAACACAAGAACCCACCGGTTAGTTGACATCGCGAGCAACCAATTGGCCAAACAACGAATTGTACGACAAATAAAGCCTAGTACATGGACAAACAAAGAAAAACAAAGCATTACAATAGTCTAATTCACGTTTATAGTAATCACATATGCTGGCAAACGACGCAAACACAACCACGCAAGACAGCACCCGGCAGCACGCACCCAAGGACAATTCAAACTCCAATTGACCGCCACCATTCTAGCTAATGAAAGACTAAAAAAACTGAGTCACGGAAAATATAACACGCAGCAACGTATATCCTCACGTGCCTCATCGGTCGCTGTTCAGAAAGAAGTCATCAGTAAACCCTCAGAAGTAATATTGTGACTTATTATTGTAATATTTGTTCACAGACCTAAGTTATAACATTGTTTATATGTTGGTGTTACAATAAAGAATCCTCGAGTCAACAATTGGTGTTTTGGTTTTTTCGTCCGTTATTACTAAGCGTTTCTGAGAAACTTCAAGGAACAGAGTGAGCCCGAGTGCAGCAAGAGCTGGGCATTATCGGTTTACGAGACGTGGCTGACAGTTTCTGACTGTAGAAACAGATTCTGGCGGATTCAGACAGTTGGTGAAAGTTTGGATAGTTGTAGGGGACTAATATTAGAGTTCACTAACATTCCAAATATAAAAGTAATAATCCAAGTCAGTGGAGTGTTAAATCACAATATATTACCAAAAATACAGTGACGAGTTATAGCAACAAAAAGGATTACTTGGATATAAAGTCTAAGTCCTCGGCTACAAATTAATTATATAATCCACGGGCACGTTAATTGTTTGGACTGCGTCGGGTAGAGCTGCTGTGTTCCGGTTGTAGAAATGTCTTCGGTTGAGAGTAGTAGGCTCCTACAATAAATCCGAAGTATACAACACGGTGTGAGTGGAGCAAGTAAGCAGAAGTGACCAGGGAGAAGACGAAGTCTCCAACAGCAGAGTGTATTTTTCAATTGTACACGGAAGTTATGTATATTTCAACAAGAAGCGTTTTAAACAAAAATTATGTACAATATCTCGAATTTATACAAGTAACCAAAAAGTGTACAATCACATTGTTACGTACTCCACACGGCTCCCCCCTAGAGGTCCGGAGAGACAACCGGAAAATGATAAGTAAAACTATGAAGTAAATAATAATAGTAATAGCAACTTTTGGATAAAAATAGGGATATATTACAACATGCATAAACGCGAGAAGGTATGTGAATCATGTAAAGTCTGAAAGCATATACAATGAGTTCAGCAATAAAAATTGAAATAGAAAGTCATGTCACTTAAATTTGCACTAACCATGAACATAGATTTTTAATGTATAAAGAAAAATATGTAAATACACAGTAATTAAGGAGGGGAAAGAAACATTAAAAAAAATATGGATTAAAGATCAATAGTTTTTGGAAAGGACAATACCTGTTTTTTAGGTGAGGTACATATAAATAAATAATAGTGATAGTAACATCAAAGTTTACGACGAAATACTAACGGTCATGATGATAATGTCTAAACGAAAAAGATAATAATAATTTTTAATTATTTTTCTTTTGTTAGTCCTCAAAATGAACGTAGCGAGCCGGTTTACTGATTTGCCGACCACTACGTGTTTGATATGGAGGGAGGATAAGACTTGGTGCCGGTGGAGTGGAATCGGATGTTTGATTATTTGATTGCGCAGCTGCCGATGTAGATTCGAAGTCGTTGTCGGTGTATGCGGGTTTGATTCGATCAATTGAAACAGTCTCTCGTCTTCCATTCTTGTTCACTGTAAAGTGTTTGTCTGAACGTTTAATAACTTGAAAGGGTCCTTCGTATGGAGGTTGCAATCCTTTTCTGATGGCGTCGACTCGAATGAAGACGAATTTGCAAGTTTGTAGATGTTTGTTGATCTGATCTCTTCGGGGAGATTGTCGAGGTGCTGTTGGTTGAAGTTGAAGCATTTGTCTAGTTAATCGGTTAGTGAAGTCGGCAATGTTCACGTCTGTGGAATCGGCTGAGGGGACTAGCTGTCCAGGCAAGGTTAGGTTGGTGCCATAGACAAGTTGAGCCGGTGTACATCCTAAATCTTCTTTGATAGTAGAACGGATACCAAGTAAAATCAAAGGTAAGTATTCACTCCACTTAGATGTATCATTCTGCGCCATCAGGGAGCTTTTCAGTTGTCTGTGGAATCTTTCCACTAGACCATTCGCTGCCGGATGATAGGCTGTTGTGGAGATATGTTTCACTCCCAGAAGTCTCGTCAGTTCGCGAAAGAGTGTCGATTGGAATTGAGGACCGCGGTCGGATGTAATAGTAGTTGGTACACCGTAGTTTGACACCCAACGGTCGAGAAAAACTAAAGCAACGTTTTCAGCAGATATGTCGTTTAAGGGGCATGCAATAGCCCAACGAGTAAATCTATCAATCGCTGTCAGGATATGTGTATATCCCCTTGATGTTGGCAATGGTCCCACGATATCTATATGGATATGCTGAAATCTCCTTTCGGGTAATTCAAACGTCTTCGGGGTTGTAATAGTGTGGCGGTGTACTTTGGAGCATTGGCATTGGATACATTCTCGTGCCCATCTCCGAATGTCAGAGTTCATTTTAGGCCACACGAAGCGTTCGCTGATCAGTCTGACCGTGGCGCGTACTCCAGGGTGAGAAAGCGAATGTAAATGTTCGAACAATGCTTTTCGGCAACTGAGAGGGACAAATGGACGATTAGTGCCGGTAGATACATCGCAGACTATGGTTGCATCTGATAAGGGGATAGGCACATCTTTGAGCTGTAAGGAAGAGTTTCTGCGGCAGGTTTGGAGTTCAACGTCATCTCTTTGTAATTGAGCCATACGATCAAGACTGATGTCTACCGACGTTTGGAGCTGGTTAATGTCACTTCTTGAAAGAGAATCGGCTACCACGTTCGCATCCCCTTTGATGTACTGGATGTCGGTTGAAAATTGGGAGATATAATCCAACTGTCTGGCTTCTCTAGGGGAGTGTTTATCGAGTGAAGTAGTGAAAGCATGACACAGGGGCTTGTGGTCAGTAAAAATAGTGAAATGCCGGCCCTGTAGTAAGTAACTGAAATGCTTCACTGCAAGATATATGGCCAGCAATTCTCTCCCAAAAGTGCTGTATCGTGTCTGAGCCGGTTCCAACTTCTTAGAAAAGAATGCGAGTGGGGTGACTTCGCCCTTCATCTTTTGTTGTAATACTGCCCCTACAGCTACTTGGGAGGCATCTGTGCACAAAATAAGCGACGCTTCGGGGTTGATATGGGATAGCATAGTGACTCTGGATAAGGCATCTTTTGCGTTGCAAAATGATTCGTGTGCTTCAGCTGACCACTGAAACTTTTTAGGATCATTTTTAAGGAGGTCGGTTAACGGCTGGACGATGGAGGCACACGAAGGAATGAAACGCCGATAGAAATTAAACATCCCCAAAAAACGTCTGACCTTCTTGAGTGAATCTGGTTCGGGGAAGTTTTTGATGGACTCTATCTTTTCCTCCGTAGGCGTAATACCATTCGCGGTTATG